GGGGCCCCTGTTTCGAGCAGGGAGGGCGGAAGAGAGAAAAAAGGGAGAGAGAAGCGAAAAAAGCGGGAAAAAAAAAAAAAAAAAAAAAGCGGCGAAAACTCTCTCCAACCCTCACGCAGTTTTTCGCACTTTTTTCTCTCCGTTGTCTCCACTATCTTGGAGCCTGGAACACGCTTAATTTTGGGTCTCGAGCGGGGAATTTAAGCGGAAGGAGTGACCACAGGGCGCAGAAGAGTTATTTGTTACCTTGGCTGTAGTTAAACTTTTACAGTTGATACCGCAACTCGCCTTTGTTTACTGTAGAATCTAGCCTGCGTAGGAAGTAAGAACGGGCGCGCGAGAGGGAGACACACGAGGGGAAAGGAAGCCTCCTCTGGCAGGCGCTCCCTCTCTTCTCACGTGTCTCCCTCGCGTGCCCCGTTCTTTCTTGTGCCCACTACTTCCAAGCCCCTGCTACGCCCGCTATGTAGAATCGAGCAAAACGTCATGCGATCGTGTTACAAATCCGGCAAAATGCTATCCAATGCTCTAGAAAACCACTGAAGGAAATGATTGCAGACGAATAACAGCGGCTAAGGTAAAAGTTCAATTCCTTGACCGTGTCTTCTGTTGTAAAATACCGTTAATATGCGTTTTGCTTGTTTCATTTTATCTCGATAGTTTAGTAAAAAAGTTCAGACCTTTGAAAAATAAAATCAGGTGGAGAATGCTTTAAACGCGAAATTTAATGCCTTTTTCATAATTGCCTAGAACACAGGGCAAAAACAAGATGGAGACGACAAAAACAATCTCGAGATAAAACTCTTACCATGTTACTCTAAGAATTACCAGTGTCAACCAATCAAAACAATTCATTTTCAGACGTGCTTACTTGCAGTAATATTACCTGTAGCAATGTATCAGAACATACGTTCTTTCGTTCTAAGAACATACGTTCTTTAGATCATGATCTTGCTCAAGAAAGCTAACAAAATAGCGATCAATTATTAGTGGTTCGTATTTATAACAGGTATAGTTAAAAGAAAAAGCCATTTTCTTTGCGTTGCGTCTAAAATAAACTCCATTTCTGATGAAATGTTTCCCAGTTCGGGCTCATAATTTATGCATGACCTAAAATTAGTCTTAAAGTCATAACTATAGTTCAAGTGCTTATCTCTCATTGCTTGTTTCGCAGACGCTCTAAACCTTCTGTATAGAGCGTCTGCAAATCAAATGCACAATATCGTGTTCGAATGCCGCAGAGTCGCAAGGACATATGTCGGCGTTTTTGATTGGCTAGTTTCTTACGCAGTTTGTGATTAGCCCGATTTGAATTAAGTGTTGACAGGCCAAACCGAGAGATTGAGCTCGTGATGGTGTGAAACGTGACCTTAGAGTCAGAAAACAACAGGCCCCGGTTGTTCAAACGTTGGATAGCGCTATCCACCGGATAAATCACTATCCAGCGGATAAGTATTAGGGAAACTAATTGCTTTATCCACTGGATAGATTCTTATCCTATGGATAGCGCTATCCAACGTTTGAACAACCGCGGCCAGAGGTTTTTCTTGCTTGCTTTTTGCGTAGTTCATGCATTGCATGGAGTATTCTACACTTTGACTGAGCAATTATATTTTTTTGCCGTTTTGAGTATCACATTTAGAGGCTATGAAGATGGTCTGTTCCATGCATATTGAGCAATTACTAGTTCCTGTGGTTTACGTTTCTGCAAATGTTTTCTGACAGGATTTGATCACAGACACAGT